CCCCAAAACCCCAAAACCCCAAAACCCCAAAACCCCAAAACCCCAATAACTCTTGTTATTATTGAATTTAATACAGTTTTAGACATATTAATCGCTGATATCTCCTAAAAGAGAGTCGCATTTACCCATTATATTCAATAGACCTCCCATAGTATCTGAACCTGTGCCTATAGTACTTGATTAGCCAAGGGAGAATAGAAGGTGCCTTGGGCATATCTGGCTATGATCAACCAGAAAGTACTCTAATGAAATCTAGCAGGAAATCTATTATCGAACGTACCTAGAGTAATACTCTTGATTTCCAAAGTGGATGCTACTCTTCTCATTTTCTTCCTCCTAGGCTTGCTAGAAATCTCTTTCAAGCATTTTGATGAGGACATTTGCTTGATATCAGGAAGCTTTATTGTTGATGATGAGTAAAACTTTGACTTTACAGCACCATTAACAACTGAATTTTTAAGGTCTTCTATCTCAGTCTTACACCGCTTTGGATTTGCAGTAAACCCAGATTTTATAGTCTTAAAATTTGAGTCTTCCTTATTCTGAGCCTTAATAAGCTTCTTATAGCTCCCTGAGCTTCTTAAGGAACGTACCTTAGCTATCTCAGATTGTATATTTTTGCTATAATCAGGTAATAAGTAAGAGATTTAACAAACTTGAGCAAATTTTATTTTTGCATCAGACATAATAGAGAGAACAATTTTAGCATAACCTAACGGTACCATATATTTAACTTTAAGCAAACCCTATTGATTCTATTAGTATTTTGTGCAAAGCTTGAGCAAAAGCAGGATAATGACAACAAAGGTCCATATATTCAAAATGACTTAGGTTAATACCTTAACTTAGCTCAAGGTTGCTGGACTTCTACCATAGATTCTTTTGGTAATTGAAAGCATCACATATCATCAGAATCGTCTGTCCCTTGAGATGCCAATTTCCTATTCTTTTTCTTCTTGCCCTCTTCAATTGAATATGAAGGATTCGCATCTGGGATGGATGGTAATTCAATCGATTTGAAAGTAAATGACAGATCAGCATAATTCTGCTTTCTAAACTTAGCCATGGCTTTAACCCTTGCACCCATTTCAATTCTTTTCTATTGAAAGCTTATATCTATTTTTCTTACCTTCACACCCATTGAGTTATCAGAAAAACAATCATCAACAATTGTGTTATAGGATCTCCTTCTAGCTGGTGCTTCATTATACTTTGACTAAATATCAATGACCAAAAAGAACTTACCTTGGTGATATTTTTAAAGTTTTTATGACTAGAATAAGAACTCAGTGATCTTTCAGAATTTGATCCTGAAAGTTTAGAATTCTTAATAAAATTTTCATATTCTTCACTTGTGGTGCCTATTGTAAGATTTAACAACTTAGAGCGATGCTGATACAGAAGTTGTGGCTAGTAATACTCTACCTTTGTTAAACCTATGCATTTCTTTTTGCAGTACGGCTTGATGTAAATTCATCTATCTTTTTAATTAATTATATTAACTAGTTCATTTTTCAACTCAAATACTAAAAGAGGGGTTTTGGGGTTTTGGGGTTTTGGGGTTTTGGGG